AGTACTATAAAACATTAAAAATCCGCTTTCAATTGGAAACAATCTGTGTTATTGTGGTAATTGAGATTCCATGTACGCTAAAACATATTTTTCTACATGAATGGAATTTAAATATTTATTTGAGTTTTAATGAAGAGTTTTATTATATGTATTTGTTTATTGAGTTCAACAATTATGTATTAAAAAGACGGTTGTAGCTTATCTTATACACTGCTGGCCACTGTAAATGCAACACCAAGAAAGACAAGAGATAGCCCAACAAAATTTATTTTGTAGATAACATGTTGACCAAGTATCAAATGATTAATTTTATAGAATTCTGTGAAGTGTGGTTCCTGCCAAAATAAGTAGCCAGAGTAGCCACCATTGTTGGAGATCACCGCTGCCACACGCCTCGGCATTGATTCAAACAGACTTTGGATGTGTTCTTGGGGTACAGCAGACCAAGCAGCTACCACACGTTGCCAAAGTTGATCTGGTGTGGCAGCTGGGGGTGTAATCCGGGTCAATCGTTGAGCAACTATGGACCACATGTTTTCTTTCGGCGAAAGATCCGGAGAGCGATCCGGCCAGGGAAGCAATTCAATTTGGTAATTGACGAAGAACCTTTGAACAATAAGTGCCACATGTGGTCGCGCATTATCCTGTTTAAATATGGCTGTGGCCAAGCCCTGAAGGTAAGGAAGGACAACTGGTTCCAACACCTCGGAGATGTAGTGCTGGCTGTTTAAAGTACCGGCAATGCGTACTAGAGGAGTGCGAGAGTGATATCCAATACCGTCCCATACCATAATTCTCGGTGCAGGATAAGTGTGGCGGTGCATAACGCAGCGGTTCAGCACCCTCTCTCCACGGTGTCTCCAGACTCGAATCCAACCATGGTGGTGTTGCAGACAGATGCGTGATTCGTCAGTAAAGACAACTTCATACCGTTCTTCCACCCACACCCTTCTTTCATCGCACCATTGACGGCGGAGGTGTCTGTGGTTCTGCGTCAAGGGTAGACCAAGCAATGGACGTCTTGCGGACAGATCACTCTGCTGTAAATGGTGTCGAATGGTACGCGCAGACACTGAATGATGCGTTACAGACTCAATGTGCTGTGCTATGGTTCGTGATATGACTGAACAATCCGTCACTGCCATGCGCACAATTTGCCTGTCCTCACGTGAAGTGGTACACTGAGGTGGATGCTATCGACCACGCCGGTCCGTTGTACCCTCCTGCATCCAACGGTCACATATCCGCATTACAGTTGTTTGGTTTAGCCCAACATGACTACCGATTTTTCTGAAAGATAATCCACAATCTCGGTAGGCCAGTATCCTTCCTCTGTCGAACTCGGATACTTAATCAAAACCTGATCACTGTTTTCTACGAGACATAACTGATCGTTTTTTGAAAAAAAAACACAAGAAAAACACAATTGCCGAACATGAAATCGTTGAAATCTCCAAGCCTTAAATAGCACTTGGAGGTGGCGCCACAGGCACACGTGATGTATGGCTGGGCTGAAATTCTAATCATTTGGATATCTCACCTCCGTTAATGCATGTTGTAAATTTCATGTTATTTGCATGCTTCCTTCAGGGTGTTGCATTTACGGTGGCCAGCAATGTATAAATCTGGTAAGGTGTTGGTAACAGACACGTCTCGTATTGCCAACGGCCATTGTGAAAATCTAGTCATTGTGCTTTACTTATTCTATGGTTTTATGAATACTTTTGTATTATTGTCTCTCGAGCAAGTATACGCTTTCATAGAGAATTTATTTAATATTCGTCCCTTATGTGAATACGAAAATATTGCTTGCGTTGACTTTTTTTGTCAAATAGTTAATAAGTATTCAATTTTTTGCAATATTTCTATATAATGCACCAAATTGTTAAAATTGAACGAAAACTATGATAATTTCATAAAAGTCGTATTTTTAGATGCATTATCCTGTGCGGCCTCCTTTATTACTACCTTATTTACATGTGGCCTCTAATGGTAAAAATATTCTACCCTCTGACATATAGTGCAGTTTTAAACAGTAGTTTATCATTTGTAAAAGCAAACCATTAAGTGAACTAACTACAGTAATTATTCATCTCATTCGTGCTTATTGATTTCTAAATAATTTGTTTTTCGTGTATGTAATTGTTTTAAAATCATTTATACATCAAAACAAAATAAAACTTATTAATTGTCAATAAAATGTTACAGGAAATCCTTAAATATGTGGAATGATCAAAAAAGGTAACATGTCGCAGCATTTGAAAACTACATATTGTGGAGAAATTTTTTTCACCAAGTGGAGACAAATTTCGCTACTTGTCATACAGCTTGTGTACGGGTAGGTAGTGAAAGTGTTCTCAGACAGTTCAGGACGATTGAAATGGCAAGATGCTTAGGCAATTGACTCGTTTGGAAGTACAAGATGTGATTTCATTTTTATGGGCAAATAATGTGTCCCCAACGTCCATTCACTGTCAAATCTTGGAAGTTTATGGTGAAGAAGCAACGAGCAAAAACATGTAGCGAAATGGTATCTCTCTTTTCAATCAGGTAGACAGGATGTCGAATACCGCAACATGGCAGGGAGTGGCCAGCCAAGTTCTTTAAAGCACTAATTGAAGAAATGATTCAAAATGATTGACGGGAAACTCTGAAGGAAATCTCGTCAGAGCCGGGTCTGAGCTATGGTAGCATGCAGCATATCGTATCAATGTACTGCGATATTCCAAGACAATGCTGTGAAAACATCCGCCGAGACCTGGCTGAATGGACGGAACCTGATTTCTACCAAGACGGGTTAAACAAGTTAGTTCTGCGTTCTGATAAATGCCTAAATACACTTGGTGATTACGTCGAAAAGTGATGAACACATATATCTCTTAATTTCCTTTTGCATTGTTTGTCTATTGTTAATAAATATTTCTTTTTATTCTATTTGTAACCTTTTTTTCTGATCCCCCTTCGTATTTTCTATGAAATTAAATATCATGTTCCATTAAGAGTCGTGACTGAGTTCACTCGTTGCGATAATATATGAGCACCGTTTATATAACTTATATAACGCCGTATACTATGTAAGGCAAGGAAAACTTATGCCTTGAGACATGTTTATTTTTCTTAAAATCTCCTAAGCAAACAAAAGAGAGAGTTCGTTCTCTTTCACAATTAATGCCTTTATTTCTTCGTAATCTCCTAGTTGTCATCGCCATTATAAACCAAAATATTAGAAACTTTCTCGCCAGATTAACCTCAGTAAAATTTCGAATTTTAATTCTTTTGCATAGTTTTGTGCACAATAACTTTTTCCACTTAATCAAAAAATAGATCATATGTTTCGTTTCTTCTTGGCACAGGGTGTATCACTATTTGTACAGCTTGAAAGAGTTTATCTAATGAAGGAATAGTTTCAGCAGCGTAATACGTTGAATTTACGCATTCCATTTGTTGTTGCGAGCGTAACCTATGCAAATCGTCTTAATTTTTACGTTGCCTAACTAAGAGCTCAGGGAAATTGAAGACACAAATTCCTTATATTTATTAAATTCTGAGGATTTCAAAAGTGTTTCTTTTGAGTAACGAAATTGTTGTCTAGTATTTTAAGTGATTCACGTACTGTTTCAACAATTTTTTTCTTATACAACTAGCATTTCAACTTTTGTAACATTTTTAAATATTTTTGCTCACCCACATTGTTCCACATAAAAATTAAACTCACCTTTACTAGATAATCCGTTAAGACCTCTGGTACTCAACGGAGAGTGATAGCTTGATAATAAACTTTGAAACTTTTTTATAATAACAACCAGAATCTCTTTTCCAATTCCCCACATAAGAATAATCTTTTATTATTATTAATATTATTTTTGCCTACGCATCTTTTCTCTCGCTCACTTGCTGTAGTTGAGTGGAAACAGGTTGCATGATGATATTAAAAGAAGTAAATACAATGTTAAAAGAAAGAAAATGAAACCTAATGAAAAAAATTGTGCATGAAAGTTTCACTTAAAAAAAACACGCGCCTAAAAAGGTTTTAATTCAAAACTAAGAGCGAATCACCGAATCTAGCACAATTTTGGACTAAAGGCGATAAAAGCACAGAGAATAGCGTAACTCACCCGAACCAGACGCTTTATTTAAATTCACTCCTCAGCAAGATGCGCGACCAAAGAAGTTATCACTTCAAAAACTTAGGTATACTCTTTATGGAAAATAAAACCCGTTCCTCTCTTGTTTATTTATTTGGTGATAATTAATAGTTGAAAAAGTCACCATACTTTTCGAGCACCCGGTACATTTATCTCATATCTCTATCTCATCCCCGAAAATCAAAATCCAATCAAATAACCCAACAGTTCAGAAAGTTGTATATTTGCTTTAAAACAAGTTATATATACAAAAAAATAGTAGGTACATATATATGACAAGTAATATAAAAAAAATTAAGTCAATATCTAATTAGATCAACAAACTTTTTTTTGTTTTAGTTACTTTTTATTATATAATTACCATTAATATAAATATGTATATACATATGACAGATTGATTCATTGAATATTAACGTCGTACTGGTCAGCTACACGAGGGCTTTCGGTGACTGACCACGTAATTTTGAACCATGGTCAAGTGACGTGAACGACACCTGAGCTGGCACCCCCTCTCCTAACTACCACACCTCACCAATGGGAGGACGTTTCAGCTCTCGACAGATTTAACGTGCATCGTTGCCCAACACGGCGGGTCTTTAGTGGTACTGGGATCGAACTCGTGACAAGGCAAGCCACGATCCAATACCTATACCACTCGGCTACCACGGCCACTATACATATGACAGAGTCACACTATTAAGTGAAAAATAGAAAGGGATTTTCTTGGCAATTTTCCATTTTCTTTTCTATATATGGTGTTGCAATATTATTTTTGTTTGTGTTACTATTTATTCATTCATTAAATTTAATTATTCCAATAAAATTCTATGGTAAAAATCTACCATTCTCTTCGGCCATCCCAGGTGAGATTCGAGCCCACAGTCTTTGGATTAGAAGTCCAACGCGCTGTCCATTGCGCTAAAGGGACACAACCAGTGGTTTTCCTTTTTAAATATGGTGTTTGACTATTATTTTTGTTTGCTATTATTTATTCATTAGATATTCAAATTTTAATGAATTAATACTTGAAAAAACTGTATAAACATAAGGTGTCAATCGCTACAAATTTAAAATTGTATTTGAACTTGAGTGGATGAATAAGAAGTATTTTATTAACGATTGAAAATTTGAAATATATATATATATATATATATATATATGTGTGTGTGTGTGTGTGTGTGTCGTGTGTGTGTGTGTGTAGGGAGAGTGTGAACGAATAGTAGGAATTGAAAAAAGCTACCCCGTTGTTCAAAATTCTTGAACATTATTAGCTATTGAGTTTATATGACAAAAATATGAAAGTTTTTCCGTATTAAAGCCACACTTGACCCAACACTGCTGACTAAAACCACCACTTCATCGTCACACATTCACCGAAATTGGAAAAATATTTCCCTATTCCAGTGTTGCTCTTAATTGCCCTAAAGATTAAGCCGATACGGCGAATTCTTTCTGAGGCATTTCACTGTCGATTACCGACCCCTGCGCACCGATTACGATTACAATTATTTCCCTTCTTTTCCTAATTGCTAATGATATTCGTCGACGGGAATATTGCTGAGGTGCACTAAATAAGATTTGATCCAGAAGGCCTTTGATAAGGGAGAAGGGGGATAGTAAGGCTGCCCAGCTAGATAAAAATGTGTCTTCTATTCTGTGTGTATTGTTTAAGGAGGGTATAGAGCACAGGGGTCGGCAAATTGTGGCTCTTTATATTCTATCTATATGAATTATTATAAAAAATATTTATATTTCCTAAAATGTGTCCTTTCTCCTTTATAATAATCTCTTGAAAAGATTTACCGTAAAATCCGGCGTATAACACGCACTTTTAACACAAAAAACAAGATTGAAATTTACAGGTGCTTGTTATACACCGGTTATAAAAATGAGAACTTTAGAAATATAGAAAGATGAGCATAGAAAAAAATAGGCTTCTACATATATGGAAATACTTGTTTTAAAAATAAAGGGAACTTAAAGAGTTGTAGTAGTAGAACTATACTATTTTTTTCGAAAATTTGTGATAATATCTCGAATAAATGACTTCAAAACATAAGAGCATTGCGCCCGTACATTTCAGGTTTCTTCGTACAAGAGGGGTGCGCGTTATACGGCTAATATACCTAAAAACCAAAAATTGCAGATTGAAAGTATAGGTGCGCGTTATACGTCGTATTTTACGGTACCTTACTTGCGTCTATAAACATTTGACTATCTTAAAATATATGTATTAAATTGTGTGTTCTTCATTCTCAAAATGTATTAAGAGAATCAGTGAAAATATCAAAACTAGCTCCAAAGCAATAAAAGTATAATTAATTAGTAGAAATGCCGCCATGGTAAGACATTTTTCCAAGAGATTTCTAGCGGCGTTTTTTTGCTTACATAATTTAGTACGAGTAGCACTCTTCCAAATGAGCAAAGAATCACATAAACCCCTAACAGAAATGCCCAACACACATTCCGTATTTTGTGATATCTTTAAGGGTTAATTAAAAGAGAGTAAAAATGACTTATATATATGCATGAACAATCAAAGTCATATTTAATTACTAATGTCAATACGAAATTTCAAAATAACGCTCGAACGATCTTCGCAAAACATTTTTTTTCACGACGCTTGGCATCTAAATTCCAATAATATGATATTTTGACACTAGTTGCTCTTGCAGTAAGCCACAAAAATAAAAATATCTTCAATAGTTCTTAGATTTGGATGGAATATAAAATGTTAATATGTGAAAAAAAGTGTTATTTAACCATCCGTTACGCACGTGAATCTCTCAGATGCGTAGTAAAAATAATTTCGATGAAGCGACCACACGGAACACGGCCCTTCCTTCTTTTTTCTGCCTTTCTTCACATGCTCCAGGACAGTGATCTGCAACCCCCGGTTCCGGTTCGTGTATCAAATGATGCCGGGCCCCACCTAAAGAACATTAAACTATTGCCATTTTATTTAAAGTGGTGCATTTCTCTCGGATTTGCGGAACTTTCCACGGAAATCACTTTATGATCCACGTTAAATCACTTTTATTCATTTTTGGTGTAACTATATTTTATTCTGAAGGCATATTTATATATATAAATGTAACTAAATTAAAATTGTTAAATCAAAACAATCTAAAATATAAACAATCAATGTGTCCCACCCTCAGAGGTTCGCGGTAAAATTATCAAACGTTGACCGGTCCGCAGCGATAAAAAGGTTGCGGGCACTGCTCTAGGATATCAAAGTTGATGACGATTTTTGCATATTTCGGGGGTCAGGAACCATTGAACCTGATAGGTGCAGCGCGCCCAACACCGTCAGTATTTATAACTTTATACTATTTTGTTAATTTTGATTTTTTCCCCTGTAAAATAATGTAGTTTTTAGTTTTCTACGAAAATAATCGGAAACAAGTAATTTGTAACTTCTGTTTGATAGTTTTTTTTCTTGTTGGGAGTTGGAGATACATCTGAGGGATGCCCTACTCCTAGCCAGTGACTGCATTTTGATTAATTCTCAATGTAGCTGGAATAATCTCCCAAAATATTTATAGGAGAATCAAAATCACTCAGGTCCTCGTTCACACATCTAGGAAAACTAGTTCACAAACTTTTGAAAGAGCACCGGCGAAAAAGATCTGAGTGTAACATTCATATGTCATGAAGAAATATCTGATACACACACACACAACTCCCATTCAAAACGAAAAACTAAGAGAAATATCACCAGGAGCTTGGAAGAGAAGATAATTTTTCCTCTTGGCAGGACATCAAGAAAAGATGATTAAAATTCTGTAATGTGCATTATACGAAAAATCTATGCCCTTGAACATTGTAAGATTATTAGTGAAAACTGCAACAAGACATGAAAAAAGTGAAATGAAAACAGTGTGGCGACATGGTGATAACTAACCACTATCTTTTTGATGTTTTTTCGTATAAATTCCTGATTCTATTTTAAGTATTACTTTAATGGAAACCACGATTGATTGAGCTCCGCGTTTGGATCGACGATCATGAGTGATTACAGCGGAAATTTGGACTTTTCGCCGACTAGAAAGCAATTGCTGCCTGCGAAAAGCTTAGAGATACAGTCACTGGTATCTCAGCCCTTCACAAGTCACTTCTCGATAAAAAGCCTAGCAAGTTCACCTACTCACAGGAATCCTTCCGAAATCTACAGGATGAGGCACCCAAGCCATGGCTATGAAAAAGGGGGGAAATGGTAAGTGAGCTTAAAACCCCCCCCCATGCACTAGAACTGATTGCAATGACATAAAATTCTCCCTACCTTGGTAGTTAAAGAAATTAATTCTAACGATCCCATTTCGATGAAAAACCGAGTGTAAAAGTTAAAAAAGAAAAAGTTATGTGCGCAAAAATAAAAGCAAGGAATCCACGGAAGAGTTTATCTTTCCTAAAAGACGGCCAGGCCCGTTTCCCAGTCACTAACCAGGATCCCATAGAAACGAGAAAAAACTCGGACTTAGAACGGGATGTTAAACATCCACTCCGACTAACAATAATGTAACTCTGATGTAGTTACTCCTCGATTAAACTTCCCACCTGTCATGTTTAAAAAATCAAAAAGAATTTCCGGATCAAATTAAATTAATTTTCGAAAAATTCCCAAAAATTCGCAATAGAACTGCCGGTGATGTAATTAAAATTTTCACAAATGATTTTGAAAATATCGAACTCTTATCCACTTCTTGAAAGCGGATAAAGAATTCGAATTCTATATAATTAACCGAAACCGACAAACCGATAAAAGCTGTAATAAAAAGGTCTCCCGAGTTTTCTAAAATCGAAGATATCACAAACGATTTAGTAGGGAAGGTTTTGTAATTGAAAGCTGTACGCAGCTTATCTCGAAAAGAACAAAACCCCCTTTCCCTATTTTCAAATCTTTTCCCGAGAAACGCCAATAATAGCAAAAAAATTTGATTTAACACAATTAGGTTACTTACAAGTGAAAGTTGATGGTTACCCGTAAAGGAAAACCCAATGTTTCAACTGTAATAACTTTTTCATACTGCCGCGAACTGCCACATGCAACCCAGATGTTTAAAATGCGGTAAAGGCACGCTACGAGAAACTGCCAAATCAAAGAAAGACAGGAAAACCCCTTTTTTATTAACTGCAGGGCTACGGTCATTCGGCATGTTATACAAAATGTCCCAAATTCCACAACCAAAGAAAGGTGCCCCTTCGTTGATCCAATGAAAAGAAAAATTTCGCCAGTAAATGGATTAAAGAAGGAATTTCTTCGCTAACATTGTTAGTGGAGAAATCCCTAGTCAAACCCCTACTAATAATGAAAATAAAAATGATAACAGAAAAGAAGATTCCCCGTGGATTCCTTAAACCAAGAAAATGATACCTCTGACTTAATACAAGTTCTGGAACTTTTTTAAAGTCATTCAAACCTAGTAAAGAAAATCCTAAAATTCTCGATCTTCTCTTAAATTTAAAATGCAAGTTCGACGAAGAAAAACCCGCCTACTAACAGAAGCTCTCATGGATAAAGTTTAATCTCATATTATTTTTAACCTTTAAATTCCCTCCCAATTATTTTTTTTTTATAATAGTTGTCTTTAAAATAATAAAATAAAATTAGAATAATTCTTCGAAGTCAAAGCTTAGTGCAGTTTAAAAGCTCACTTCCCAAACCCCCAATCAAAGCCCACCTCCACAGCACCACTCTCATTGGATCTCCACTCCTGAAGTCACGCCCCCCTCTCCAACCAAAGCTGCAACACCATGAACATCGAATAACCAGATAGAGGGTTGAAGACTGCTGACGCAGTCTAGGTACCTCTTCACAAAATCATCCGTCAAATCATCCGTCAAGTATTACTTTATGTCAAATATGTTTTGGTGTCAAATCTCACACCTCTATAAAATGATTAAATCATCTTCAAAAAAAAACGT